TATGATAGGTGTATATATATATATGTGTGTGTGTGTGTATGTATCAAGCGATAGTAGCCTAATGGCAGGGCGCGGACCACGAACTCAAAAAGTTCGTGGGTTCGAATCCGCCATTCGACTACTGGCGTGAACCACTCGTAACACAAGCAATTTGAGCTTACCACGAGTGGTTAAGGGGAATATTAGTAATGTTTATAGCATTGTTAATATTATTTGAAAAAAATATGGGCCACAACACTCAGGTGGACTGTGTGCTCCTCTGTCACCCTTATTTATAAAAAATCTTTATATTTTGTACAATATGACAACAAATCAACATCCATTTCCAACAGCGAATTTTGATGCTTTAATAACTCGTCACTCGAACTTATTTCAGCGACGTCTATTGTTTGGTGAACAACACAATGAAAATGCGGAACGAAACTTTTACCAGCATATATATACCAGCCATCTATATTGACTACATTTCATACATTTTTTATCTAAGTTAAATAACCAGTTTAAACACATTCAATTAAAAATTTAAATTTGAGGTGAAGAGAAACACAGCTGCAAGTTTTTTTAATTTTCAGAAATAACTTATGCACACGAAAAAATACTATAAAAACAAAATAAAAATTGCAGGTACATAAATAAAATAGCTCAACTGTTTCACTTTTTTCAGCCCAATTATAATTTATTCGATGGATTACTTTTTTCCGACAATTAAAAAAAGCCGTCAAATTGAATAAAACTAAATTTACGCATTCTATCGCGTTTATTTAACTGATTTTACTTATTTTTAATTCCCGACGTTTCGGGTGCTTTACAGCAACCATGGTCACGGGGGGGACTGAGATGTTTAACGTCCCAATGTCATTGTTAGCCCGCCTACCTTCAGTTTTTGAATATTAATTTTTGGTCCGATTTACGCAAAACGAACTTACAGTATCTTGTAAGCCTTGCAGTGGTATGCCTGGGTTTGGGTTTAATTTTGTTAATTATAGGATCCCAAGCACATGGCAGCACCCAACCATCTTCTCTATTGAAATAAACGCGATAGAATCCGTAAATTTAGTATTACTCAATGTGTAGTGTTCGCGTAAATTTAAGAAATCATTATGTGAACCAGTACGGACTGGTAATAGCAAATAAAATTCGCCGATTAGAAGATCTTAAAACCAAACGCGCAAGATATATAACATCTTAAATTTCTTGAAGAGATGCAGAGACCATAATCTCATTCCTACGTGTGTCAAAATATCAACAAAAAAGGACATTCGAGGAAGCGCTAAGATCTTAAATCAGGCAAGAAAAAAGTTGAACTGAAGGTAGCCGGGCTAACAATGACATTGGGACGTCAAACATCTCAGTCCCCCCCCCCGTGACCATGGTTGCTGTAAAGCACCCGAAACGTCGGGAATTAAAAATAAGTAAAATCAGTTAAATAAACGCGATAGAATCCGTAAATTTAGTTTTATTCAATGTGTAGTGTTCGCGTAAATTTAAGAAATCATTATGTGAGCCGTCAAATGTTTAAGGCGTTAGAAGAAGCGATTAGAAGCACAGTACAGATTAATTAGCGAGCACGTGCCTTCCGTCTATTATGAGATCGTTCTGCCTTCATCCGACGGAAATGAAATGTTAATATGAGAAATGAGCAATGGCGGAGAACAATTCGATTCTTTTTAGAAATTGATTTCTTGATATTTTCTCTTACGTAAACTATGTTTCGAAAAAAAAAATAACTTTATGGATTTTAGCGGATTAATTTTAACTTTTTAAGTCTCGATTTCATCAGAAATAAAAAAGTTTAAATTAAACACGAAGTTTATTTATTCTATAGACCATTTTTGGTGAACGATGAAGGGTTAACTATTATGTTTTTCGCCCATGACCAACTGCAACACTAGGGGAATTGCAGGTGCGTTGCCGGCCCTTTCGAAAGGAGTAAGCTCTTTTCTTGAAGGTCCCCAGGTCGAATCGGTTCCACAGAAAGGTCGTACGCAGAAGAAAAATCCTAGTGAAACGTAAAGTGGTAGACCGCCAAGCATCCAGATGGTGTGAATGATATCGGGAGGTTTGTCGCGTAGTGCGTTCGTAAAATTTGGTGGCTGGGATTAATCCGAACAATTGCTCAAGGCACTCCCCGTGATAGATGAGATAAAATAAGGAAATACATGCGACATTTCTTGGCAGCGTCGACGATTCGAGCCGCTTTGCGCTGGATGCGGTCAAATGGAAGGAGCTGGTACTGGGGAGCCCCAGCCCAGAGATAGGAATAGTATTTCATGTGCGGCCGAACCTGCACCTTGTAAAGTTGCAGGCGGTGTGCCAGCATGAAATACTGTTCCGCTCTGCTGAGCACGCCAAGCTTTTTAGAGGCCAATTTGACCTTCTCTTCCAAGTGACCACGAAACTGCACGTTACTCGATGCCGACGCCGAGGATTCCGATACTGGTTGAGGCAACAAAAGGAGTGCCTTGAAACTGAGGAGATACGACAAAGGGATTCCTTTTAGCGGTTAACGCGCAAACTTGTGGCTTCTGGGGGTTAAACCAGACTAGATTTAGTCGCCCCCAATCCGAGACTTTGTTCAGCAAAGACTCGACTTCAGACACAAGTTTTTCCCGGTACTCGGAGACGTTTTGGCGAGAAATATTGGCACGGTCGGTGTACAGAGCATCACCAGTGCTGTCATGTGAATAGCAATGAATGTTGCAGGTTTGCAACATATCATTGATATGCAGAAGGAACGGCGTTGGTGAGAGCACTCAGCCTTGTCGAACACCAGTATTAATAGGCTTGTAATCGAAACTTGCACCGTCTACAACGACCTTGACGGTCCGATCTGCAAGAAAGCTGGTGACCTTATTGCACAATTTCTTGGGAAGCCTGTAGGAAGGGAGCTTCGAAAGAAGCGCTTTACGTTAAACCCGATCGAAGGCCTTCACAATGTCCAAACTAACGCCCAATGCCTTCCCCTTGGACTCTACTGCCGCCGCCCATCTATGAGTCAGGTAAACCAGAAGATCACCAGCTGATCGACCACGACGAAAACCGTATTGGCGATCACGAATCAGATGGTGATTCTCAAGGTACCACATGAGCTGGCAGTTTACAACGAATTCCTTTGTTTTAGAGAAGAAGAAGGTGATGGCGATGGGCCTGTAGTTGAACGGGTCTGAGCGGTCGCCTTTTTTAGGGATCTGGTGGACGAAAGCCGTCTTCCATGATTTTGTGACTACGCCTAGAGAGTAGGAGTACCGGAAAAGACGTGTTCAGACCGCCAACTATGGAGCACACGTCCTCAGCACAATTGGGGGAATACCATCAGGCCCATTCGACTTGTGAATCATCCTTGGAAGGAATCGGTGTTCTTTAGCGATAATTTGTGGTCTATCAAATCTGATCTAGTGACGAAGGCGGTCCTGTACGTGTTCACAGACTGCAGACTTCCCGGAGCGTCGATTCTTCATATCAGCTATATGTTCTTTAACGTGGGTTTTAATTGATCTTTTAGTTCATCCTATGTAGGAGAGACCACACTCACAATCAAGCTTGTACACTCCTGTTTATTGCAGAGGGACGTTACACATGACTGATGGTAAAAACTGACCAATCTTCTTCGGCGGCTTGAAGTATGTTTTGATGGAAGCGCGCTCCAAGATGTAGCCAATCTTATCAGTGACTCCTCTAACGTATGGCAGTATAGTAGGTGCACGCTCGACTGTGGCCGGCTTCACTCGTTCACTGTGACGTAGGCGCGGGACCCGAAGCTTTTTGTCATGCAAAACTTGCTTGACATGGTGGAGCTCGGCAGCGAGGTGTTTACTGTCACAGATCCCTCGTGCTCTCTGAAACAAAAATTTACCCACGGTAGCTAACTGTGAAGGATGGTGGTGAGAATCACCGTTTAAATATCTATCTGTATGGGTCTTTTTTTTATACACAGTATGGCTCAAGGTGTTATCAGGATTCCGAATTACTAACACATCTAGAAAAGCTAAAGAATTGTTTGCCTCTAACTCCATTGTGAACTGAATTTTAGAATTTATAGAGTTGAGATGGTCTAAAAATGCAGTTACTTTATCCAAAGGTAGAATTGTGAAAGTGTCGTCTACGTACCGCTTGTAGAATCTTGGATTTATGGGAGAAGTAAGCAGGGCTTTCTCCTCAAAGTCTTCCATGAATATGTCGGTGACAATGGCAGATACAGGTGAGCCCATCGCCACACCATCTACTTGCCTGTAGAACTCCTCCTTCCACAATAGGTAGCCATATGTAAGGCAGTGTCTGAGTAATACTGCATATTCTACGGGCATTTTGTTTTCTTCCAGCCTTCTAGTTACAATTGAGATGCAGTCTTCAACAGGTAAGCATGTAAACAATGACTGCACATCAAAACTGACCATAGTTTCATTGTCAGCCAGATGTAGGTTTTTAATCTCGCTGACAAAATGGTAGGAATCCTTTATGTGTGCTCTTGTATGTCCCCTGAGCGGTGAGAGTATTTTCGCTAAGTGTTGAGCCAATCTGTAAGTTGATGAATCGATTTGGCTCACTATGGAACGTAGGATATTTTTGAACTAGCTGCCTACAAACGATTTAAAGAAAAGCTACGCACAAATGCACTCAAAAATCCGAAACCCCTGCAAAATTTATGTATTGACGTTTTTAATAAAATTATACAGTTTGCACCTGATTTAGAAGAACAAGTGGAACGAGTAGTTACACACACGAGTACTCAAAATGTCACCTTCTTATCAGACCTTTCAAGAAAAGATAATCAGACGCAGTCTTTTTTGGCAAATAATATTTCCAGTTTACCAGATTGTCTAAAATGCAAGCAAAATGTAAAGCCTGAGCCAAAAATTAAAATTTTATCCAATGTAAAGGTCAATTTTGAAGAATTGCTGCTCGACAAAATAAAACAGGATAAGAAGGATATTAATTAGCGAACATAGAAAACACATGTTGCTAAGGGAGCTGTAATAATAACTTCTAAACAATTAGAAGACATGGAAAAGCAAAGTAACGAAACAGCGTCACAAAAAGCTAAGCCGAAAAAAAGGAAGTCAATAAAAGATATAGATTTCGCAGATGCGGGACCTTCAGGTATAAGAAAAGTGAGTAAATAGAAAAAACAAGGTAAGAAAAAAACATAAAAAGGAAATAGATTCGAATGAATCTTCGTCTGATATTTCTGATTTTATAAGCCTCTACAGTGACGACATAGACATTGATCAATATTATAACGATGAAACACTCAGAGAAGAAAATTGGCCAGATGATTTAAATTTTGAGATGGAGACTTTAAATTCTTTGGAAAAATATGAGAATAAAGAAATTTCAAATGAAGTTAAAGAATGCGAAAATGGAAATCCTCATACCAAAACTAAAAATAAAAGTGTGGGTAAAAAGAGTAAAGCAAAAGAAAATAACCAAGGCTCAAAAGAAACTAATAAGACTGATGATGACTCTAGTGTAGTAGGTAATATTAACAAAAATTTAACAAATACCACAGAAATTGAAACACTACAAGAAAATTACTGCATAAATGATTCCGTGTTAGTCAGATATTACGTTAGAAAGACATAGAAATACTTATATTGGATTTATAAATGGAATAAAAGAAAAAGACGGAAATAGATTATATTGTATCGCTTATTTAAAAACTATGAAAGCACCCCAACTTTGTTTCAGAGAAACTAAAAAATTAGATTATGATGAAGTTACAAATATATCTATAGTAAAGAAAATAAATTTGCAAAGAATGAATGATAAAATTTATAGATTGGTTAATGAGAGCGACAACATATATTTTTAAGTTAATTATATTAAATAGTTTTCTTAAATCTGTAGTAGCATAGGAGAGCGAAGGAACAAAAACCCTTGTAACCATTTTTAAGCACAGAGTTACGTTACGTTTTCATATTCCGGGTTTAGGAAATGAAGTGTTAATATACTTACCTAAAATGGTCTGATGTGTTACCTACTAACTACTAAGTTTAATGAATAACTTTATGAATAATAAACTTAATAGGTAACGCATCAGACCATTTTAGGTATATTAACGCTTCATTTCCTAAACCCAGATATATGACCACAGATGTATATCTTTTGAGAATTTGGTATTTTCTATTTTCTAATTTGTAATTTGTATTTTTTTTGCAATTGTTTAAGAATATTTTCTTTGTCCTTTTTGGTAGTTAAAAGTATTGATGTGAATGTGAAATGTGATGTGTTTAATGTAAAGTTGATTTTTTTTTTACCTTTTGCTTTAGGTACCAGTTTTATTTCATGTAATATCTTAACTGTTTGTTATGTACAATTCTAAAAATTTATACAAAATGACAATTGCAAGACTGATTACGATAAGATAGTCCATGAAAATAACGTGATCTAATGTAAAGGTGCAAACTTAAAAATAACTAGGTAATTATTACCTACTTGATTAGCATCTAGTTTATGACAACTGATGTGATCTCGTACTAAGTTAAAATACTTCTTTTTTCGAAATAATTTAAAATTAGGTACCAATTCGAGTTGGTATTAAAAAAAAGATTGTGATTACTTAAAAAAATCATAGAATTGTTTATTAATTTAAACTACTTAATTATGAACTATTTCGAAGTATGTCTTTCTATAACTTCGTATTTTCAATTTTCTAAGATGTTTTTTTTTGCATATGTTTAAGAATATTTCTTAGTCCTTGTTTGTAGTTATAAGTATTGAAGAAAGAAGAAGGAGACGTATTAAACTAGCCGTAACTTTGTAATAAAATAAAGAAAATATATGGAAAAGTGAATTCAGAATTCTATCACAGATTTGATTTCTAATTTTTTTAATACTATATACTATAATAATAATACTAATATATAATACTATATATATATATATATATATATATATATATATATATATATATATATATATATATATATACATATCTAGTATAGAATATTATTCTATACTACATAGCTTGGTTGGATCTTCAGTACTAAATAATTCCACTCTAGCTACTCTATAACCATTAATTCCCTGCAATTATCGGTTATTTGAGCTACATGGCCGACATTTCCACTTTAGCTTATCACCATTGGGCTATGTTATAGTATTAAAAAAATTAGAAATCAAATCTGTGATAGAATTCTGAATTTATTTTTCCATATATTTTCTTTATTTTAGTACAAAGTTACGGCTAGTTTTATACGTCTCCTTCTTCTTTCTTCATCAGCACGCACGACCACTGCTCGACACGAACCTCTTCCACCGTAATAAGAAATTTACGATCGCAATACTAGATATCTCGTCCCTTTTACGCTGATGCGCGTCGTGGTCGGTCTAGGTATTTTACCTCTGGTCAAAACGAGAGCGTTCTACTGTCATCGACTGGTTGATTGATATTTAGATTATTTGACATTTTCGAAAGCCACTTCTTATGACACGGACAGGATGAAATGGAGTGACGGATTCTCCTACGCAGCAGTATTATCAATGTTTTTACATCATCAAATTTATTTAAAAAAAAACCTTTAACAAATGTAAAAACCAATTTTATTAACCAAAAGGGGTAAAATAATTTCCTTATAATTGCTTCTTTAATCAGTCCTCAGACATAATACATAGAAGGATTAAAGCTTAAGATTATAATGCATAAGAATATATCCTAACATAACCCACTACAGTACGAGTTCTCCCACTAACGTTCCGGTTGGTTGCTAGAAAATTCCATATGACATTAATTTCGCCATTTGTACCTATAGTACAAAAACTATTTAATTAACAAATAAATAATATATATTTTTTCTTAAAAAACGAAAAATATTTGCTTCCTTTTATAGTGTATCGTTACCCTTTTAAAATAATGGACCATTTTAATTAAGAGTAAGTTTACAACGTCCATATAAACCCATTGATATTAGTGTAAGGCAGTTTCTAAATCTTAAGTCAACTTCGTATATAGGTCAGCGTTTCATTAACTTAAGTGTTAGAAATGTACGTTTTCATGTTCTTTTACAGTCGGGATATAAATGTAGATGTCTATGGGCCTCGGTATCCACTTACCATCAGGTAAACTTTAAGCTCGTTTGTCACTATTATTCTATAAAAAAATATTTTACAATACACATTTATTTCTATTTTACTTTCCACCCTAAAGGCAAATGTTTAATTTTGATATAAATACCCGCAGAGGGAACGCTATTATTTATATGGTTTTCGTTAAGGGTAAAAGCTTATTGATCGGGTCTATTTTAGGCCGTGGATCTCTATACAGTGTAACGAAAATACAAACAGGTCACAATATTGAAACAGAAACAGAAACTTTTTTATTCAATATACATCATGAACAATACTTATTGAAAGTCACTTTTTTCATTTACCACTGGTTCGCAAAAAAAACCTCCGTCTTGGGAAGAACCAGCAAGAAACCCAGCGGGACTTTTTTTTTCAAATAATATTAAACAACCTTTACAACTAATCGATTTCTATAACTCAAAGTGCATTTTTTATACACTAAGGGTGACAAACGAACACACAGTCCCTCGATGGTAAGTGGATGCTGTGACATCTTTAACTATCTTCAATGAAGTTTTTTAATTCATATGCATGCACTCATCAGGTCATCGAATGTCTTACTCCCAGTTAAAGGGGTTTCTGGCTCGCAAGCTCTAAGAAACATTGAGCTGCTTTTATAAGATTGTATTCCACAGAACAGCGTGGTCATTCCTCGTTCGTGTCCACGCATAATATAGTTACAGCATATCTCCACAACTTACAAAATATAAACATATTCAATTATGATTCATAATAATTCATAAACACTCACGCCTGTCACCCAGAGGGGTAGGCAGAGACTACAGACTTCCATTTAGCACGATCCTGACATACCTCTCTCGCCTCTTCCACATCCATATACCTACGCATACATGCTTGTCGGTTAAGGGTACTCTTAATTTGGCCCATTTTTAGTATATCGCCAATTTGGTCGACAAACTTCCGCCTAGGACGTCCCTTTCTGACTCTTCCATTCACTTCTGCAACATATATTTGCTTTGTCAGTCTTTCCGCATTCATTCAATAATAACTATATAAATAATACTGGATTGACAAAGAGAAATGTATCAAATCATAATTTCGTAACGTCGTCATCATGATTCGTAACTAGAATCACGTTGGGTTATGGCTCTAAGATTTTACTAACATTTACGAATATATACCTACTTAAAATTCGGAACGATACAATTTTAATTGCTTGCGTGTTTTCAAAGGTCACTAACGTTTTAGTGTACATTAATTCAGGTAACCTTTGTTTATTTTAACGATGTATCCCAAAATAATAACAAACTTAAAATTTGAAGGATTTATTAATTTTTATAAAGTTTATTAACATATAAAATTTTGTAAATTTTATTAACAACTATATTGCAATGAAGGTAGTACTTTAATTCACATTTTCATTGGCTCTTAGACATGTGTCATTCATGAATGATTCGTTCTTTTGAGCTGGTACACTTAAAAGTATTGATGGTTCATTCATCTTTTTTAATGTTCCGGTACAGTCAATCACAAACAACTGACTTGAATGAATGAATTGTTTTTAGTGTAGGGTACTGGAGCCCAAAATGATCCATTTGAATGATCGATCCGAATTTCCGGTAAATTACATACGCGTGACGAAATATGCTAGAATCATTCAGTCACGAGAAATGAACGATTGACACATGTCTATTGATTTTTATTTTGGATTTTCACTAGCAAGATATGCAGGATCAAAGTGGTACTGGCACCTGGGTTGAGTAAGCTTTGTTTGACGTTAAAAAAATTCTCAAATACTAAACTTATTTACGATAACTTGTAAAGTTAAGCATTATTCAAGTACAAAATTTCATCCAAATCGAACCCCACATGAACCGCACCTAACATAAGCGTTTTCAATTTAGTTATGACAATGTGGTAGTTTCTATGAGAACATGGTCGTTCCTCGGTCGAGCCAACCTATTCTAGCAACCATAATATAGTAGCAGCATGGCTCTACCACGTCCGAATTCTTCTCTTTTTGTTGTTGTACGCATTACGTTTACTTTTGTACAACGAAGAACCAATGACTGCTTGGTTGGTATATCAGTTAGTATAGGATTCTGTTTACGTCTGTGAGTGGACATACGTGTTTGTACGCCTAAGCCTGCGGCAAACATGCTCGTATAAATACTATCATGTGTTAAATGGTTACATAACTAGACGCTGAATTTATGTATAATAATAATAATAATAATAATAATAATAATTCTTTATTTAAATCACAAGGTATTTTAACATAAATAAGTGGCTAGAGCCTCCCTTTAAGCACAGAGCGCCTGTAGTAGGAGGCTCCGCTCTTCCACAACTTCACAAACAAAATCTTATGAAATACTTTTAGACAACTAATATAAAAACGTGCATGCTGTGTGTGTGTGTGTGTGTGTGTGTGTGTGTGTGTGTGTGTGTGTGTGTGTGTGTGTGTGTGTGTGCGTGTGTGTGTGTGTGTGTGTATGTGTGTGCGTGCGTGAGTGCAAGCGTGCGTGCGTGTGTGTGTGCGTGCTGTACTTATTTGAGTA